TTTAGCTCAGTGGTTCCGTCGCCTGCCTCGCAAGCGCAAAGACCTGAGTTCAATCCCTGGTACCAAAAAAAAAAAAAAAAAGACAAAGGCAGCTTTCATTCTTCCATCAGTTTTCAAACTCCCTACTTTCCATCTTCCTCACCATGTCCCCTGGAGCCCCCAGTCTGTGCTGCGCTTCGGATCTTCTACCCACTCCGTGGCTCAGGCCAGGCTCTCACTACCCTCCTGAAGAGCCTTCCTGGGCTCTGCCTCACTCACACACTCTGGGGTGACTCAGGACACCAGAGGTCTACCTCCAAGCTACAGTTTTGGCTTGCGTGTGCCTGCATCAGCTTACACAACCTCACCTGCCTGCCTTCCCTCGGGGCACACTTGACACTTCCTGCCTCTGCGTTTGGTCCTGATGCTGCACTTCTGACAGCTGGAAAGTCACTTTTCTGCCACCCTCCCAACCATGGGCCTGTCAAAAATGAGTCTTTCCTTCAAAGTCCAGGTTCAACACCACCTTCTCCAATCAGCCTTCCAGAGCCCCAAGCTGCATAGCTCACTTTGTGGGGCTCAAACCACCACCCACAGGGCCTCAGCAGGAACTGCCAGGCCCTGCAGGCCTGCACATGGCTCGTCGCTGCTCCCTGCAGGCAGAACAGAGCCTGCAGTCTCTCCACAGACAGCCCACCCATCAGAGCTTACCCAAACTTCAATACAGTGAATGGAATGTTCAGCTCTGAAAATGCTAAGTGAGCAAAAATGAGTTTCTAGTACAGCAAATATTAATGCACCACCGACTGGGCTGACAAATAACAGCAGCTTAATCTCTACTGGGCTAGGTAATCGAAACTAAAACTAAAGAGATGAGAAAGAAACCAAAGCTTCTGCCTTTACAAAGAAGAGGCAGGCACTGCAGGGACACCTCTTCCTAGCTCGCCAACCCTCACTGCACCAGAGACAGGAACAGCAGTGCCAGGTCACTGAGGAAGTGCAGGGCTGCAGGCAAGGCCAGGTTCGAGGGCCAATCTGCCAGACACAAAGTCTTCTGTTCAAACAACACAAACACATTCCCAGACTGGGAAGGCATCACTGCTGCCCGTGTAATCACCCCATGATGCGGCAGAATTCCTTCTGGATGATCCATAACAGCATTCATAACATGGGGTCCACTTCAGGTAAGTAAAATCCAACTCTGTTAGTCCTCCTGTTTTTTCAGATATTACCCTAATGTCAAAGGCCACAAAACTCATCTACCCAACAACAGCACGGCACTGCTCAAAGAAGACTCATGAGGCCTGGTTCTCCACCATCTCCTTGGCAGCTCAGGGACAGAGTCCTGGTTTCTACCAGTGGACTCATACTCAAAATCTGGATGTGATTTAGGACAACAGTGGCTTCAGACAGAAGAAATACACAGCCAATGTGACTCTGAGGTGTTCTGTTGACTCCTTACCACATTTTATCTACTAACTAAACACTTCATAAGCATATTAAAGAGCCAAACAATTTTAGAGAAAGGGAGAAATAATGAGAACAATAAATTACAGGGTATTTGCACAACCATGATACTAGAAGATCTGACCTGCAGTTATTCTCTTGGGTACCACAAGGTTAACACTTAACACTCATTCAACCAAACCTCTATAAACAGTTGGGTTTTCCACGATCAGAGCCATTATTCCCACTTCAGTGGGCAGCAGTGTTGAGGGAAAAGCCATACATTAGCTCCTATGTAATAAACACCAGAAACCAAAAGAGTTGGGAAAGCTGTTCATGTCCATGGCCACCAAGAACCCTCCTCTGACCTAAGTGCATGGACCGAACAGGTAGGAAGGGAGATTCCCCTTGCTAAACTGCATGGGGGAGGAGGTGCGATCCTAAGATATGCGCTGCTCTCCACCCCTCAGGGTTTCGATGGAGAGGGGGGCTTTAGCAAGACAGAAATGAAAACTGTTCTCTTAGTATCATCCCATTGTACAGACACACACTGAAAGACAGAGTGGTGGAGTAATCTGCAAAGGCCCATGACAAGAGAGTGGCAGAGGAGGCAAGAACCATCACTTTGCTCTCAAGTGCAGGAACAGCTAAGGGCACAAGAGCCTTGTGTGAAGACAGCAGCACCCATGAGACTCTCATGGAGAAGAGCCACCACTTCCAAGAATGGAACTTCCCAGTCTTTGTGAGGACTGACCTGAACCCGCCATCGCACAGCCCAAAGCCAACGTCACAGTGAAGAGAGATCATCAAGTACTATAGTTACTGGAAAGGCCAAGAATAGAACACAGGTCTGCTGACCCTCATCCCGTGCCCAATCAGGAGTGTTCTTTTGGATGCAGATGCCCTTCTGATGTTTCAAGTCACTTGAGAATAGCAAAGAAATAAGTTAATTCTGGAAGACAGAAGACAATGTGGAAATTATCTGGATTGGGAATTTCCCATAAAAAGGACCATGACCATAAGAAGATTTCTACCAAGGAATTTTTGAACAAAGGACACTGGTAGCTGCAAATTTTCTCACCTTCTGCAACAAAAATGAAAAAATAGCCTTTACCGCCTGGCTCGCAAGTGCAAGGTCCCGAGTTTGATCCCTGGTACCAAAAAAAACAAAAGATACAACCTGAAAAAAATAACCTTTGTTCTCCCCTGCCTGTAGGCTGTAAATGATTAGCTTAGCTATGTGATAACTCAGGAAAATACCAGAGAGCCTCTCCCAGCTGATTAAAATACTCAAGACTTACGAACTCCTCCAATGCCCCCAGAGAGGAGGGCATGGAATGAATGCTTAGCACTGCTGCAAATCATTCTCCTGCTCATCCCAGCAACCTGCCCCAGTGAAGAGTCCTGGTGCAGACAGGGTCCGGGTGCCAGCAGAGGAATGACTGGGACAGGGCTCAGGAAGGAGGCGCTGAGAGGGACAAGCTACAACCTGAGCACAGGGAAGAAAAGGCTGTTCCCTGAAACAGGCACCACTCAAAAGAAGGGACAAGCGAGGGCAAGAAGAGGTTAGATGAACCCGACTCTGTTTCCTAATCAGACAACAGATGAAAAGAGCCTTACCTAGGTCACAGGTTAACCAGGGCTATTTCTACTACGGAGATAAAACACTAGATAAAATTGTCTGGTGTTTCCAAATGACAGATAGTAGCTTTTGATTTCAACTATGCCATTACATATTTGTTTCAAACAGTTAAGACAAAATGATTGTCAGATTTCTTCATGATTTACAACTTTCAGCAAAGCACAAGGAAAGCTAAAACTTGAGTGAAGGGTACAGTCTGCCCAATCACAACTTCAGGACACACCTTCATGTTCATCTCTTTTTCACTCAGTCAAACCAAAACGACACCTAAGTCCACGCACATTAATTAATTTCTAGAAATCTGCATCAAACTTAAAAAAACTGAAATCTCGGGCTGGGGATTTAGCTCAGTGGCACTGCGCTTGCCTCACCAGCGCAAGGTCCTGAGTTAGATATCCGGTACTGGAGGGAAAGGAAAAAAAAAAAAGAACTAAAATCTCCAGAAAACTTAAAAAGAGTTATTTATTTCACTGTCCCACATTAAATACCGCTTTCCAACCTGTTCTGCAAAGAGCAAAAAATAAACTGATTAGATAAATCCATTCCATACTATTATTTCGATATTTATGAGCAGTTCTCTCCACCATTCTCAATGACCTATCTCAGAATATTTAGATGTGTAATAAATATTACAAATTTAACCTGATTATCACTGATCAATACAAACCATCAACTTATACTGGGACATACTTGAAATCTCAGAAACCTTCTTCCTCACTATGTGTTATCATGGTTCTAAGGTAGTATTATATATGTAATAAGTGTCCAGAAAAAGTTCATTTTTTTAAAGAGCAAATCAAAGAAGAGGAAGTCAGTAAATAACACCAAATAGAAAATAGAAAAAGCAAACCAGCAATGGTTCCCCCCCCCCCCCCCCCCTTTATAATGGATATTCTCCAGTCATCTCCCATTTCCTAAGAAAGCAGCTCAGTGGGGAGGCAGGTTAAATATCAATGCCATCTCCCTCTAGTCCTGAGGAGAACTTCCGGTTACTGAATGCTGCTGTTAAGTGGTTGGTTCTGCCCCCTCCCCAGGACTCCCTATTCTGTGGTCGGGCCAGCAGGAAGACCCCACCCCCACCCCGTGTCCTCAGTACCACTGGTAAGAAGGTCAGGAGGGCAGGCAATTACAGGTAAATGAGACTGAATGCCTTCTCAACATTATCTTCACAGAATTTCACTCTCAAGTCTCCGCAGCAAACCCTCGGAACTGAGCTTTATCAGAGGCACTGTGGTTGTCAGATCTCAGCCCTAGCTTTGTGATATATCAAAAAGGAGTCCTAAAAACTCCACTTAAACAAATTACCAAAACCCTGGTATATCGGTCCAATGAAAGTGCTAACTTTTAGGGCAGGAATAGTAAAGTGTTATTTTAACTGCTCTTCAAGACACAGCAACATTAAATAAAGGGGGAAAATCCCAACAGTATTCAAAATACAGTAATGAGCCATAAGCCTCTTAATTCTATCAGTGTGTTTGAGCCTTGCCCATTAGCAAAGCCAAACTAGTGATAAATGACATCTCCTCCTTCAGCCACTGTATTTAAAATGAGATGTCAACTCTCCAATAACCCGTGCCCCCAACTCACTTTCTGTTCCTACAGTTACAACTCATTCTTCAGGGACGTAAGCATGTCCCTTTAGCATCTAAAATAATGAGCTAAAATTAAAAGTCAAGGGAGCTGGTGATTTAGCTCAGTGATTTCACCGCCTGCCTCGAAAGCACAACGTCCTGAGTTCGATCCCCGGTACCAAAAAACAAAACAACAACAAAAAAAAGTCAAGGAAGTGAGCAAACAATTCTAGAGGCCAGACTGCATCTGAGCCCAGCACAGGGTTAAAGGAAACCATTTCGTAAGATCAAATGTAGAGAAGCAGCAGGAGCAACGAGGAAAAAATTAAAAATCAAGTTACATAAAGTCCGATTGTACTCACTGTTTCCTTATTGGGAAGCAGCTCCTTTCTAATTCTGAAGAAGTTCTTCCCGTACTGCCTGAGTCCCTTAACGAAGCGTTTCTGTGATAAAAAGAAACAATAAATGGGATGTAAAACCCCGAAAAACAAAACAGGATGTCAGCAAAACCAAAGATATCTGCAATCAGCAGAATAAGCACCACAGAAAGTCTTAGCTAGGGAATACCGACTCGGCTGGCCGGGAGAGTTTCAGCAGCGCAGCAGGACCCGCCAGCCTTCACCGGAACCCCAAGCAGGGGAGCGCACCCCAGAGGAAGGCATCCGGGTCTGGAGCCATGACCGTACGCTCTGCCGCCACCCAGTCTCGTCCGCCAAGGTGTAAACAACAAACATGCCCGCGTTTCAACAGAGCAACACAGAGTCGGGGAAAGGTGAAACAACCAAACGCCGAGCCTCCTCAGAAGGACACTAGAGGGTTAAAAGGCCTCCTTCCTTAATCCCAGGAATGTACCAGGCAGGCACTGCTGTTGCGGAAGCCCACTGGGAGCGGGATCCCAGCTGGCCTGGCCTGCCCCGCCATCTCGTCATTAAAACCCACTTCGAATAAAGAACCCTCAGCCCCTCTGCCTCCCTCCCGGCGCCCCTCACCGGCCCCTCCATCTTCGCAGCTGTCTCCACCTCTCCCGGTGCCCGCCCGGAGACTTTCACTTTGTCCCATTCCTCCCGGGCAGCCCTCCCGCCCCGGCCCCCACCTCGGGGCCCGCAGTCCGGTCCCGCGCTGCTGATCCGGAAGCCACAGGTAAGCGCACGGGTCTGGGGCGAGGGGCGGCCGCCTGTCACTCAGCGCCGGCACCACAAAGCGCAGGGCGGAGGCGGCCGCGGGCGGCACAGCGTGTGACCAGCGGTGCGGAGCGCGAGGGGCGCGGGGCTGGGGCTGACACAGCCCCAGCCACAGCCGCAGCCCCAGCCACTGCCGCCGGGGGAGGAGGCTGGAGCTCGGCGCGCAGAGCCCAGCGCAGCGGAGGGCAGCTGCAAAAGGCGGCCTGGATCGCGCGCCGCCCGCCTGCCCGGGCCCAGCCTGGCCCCGCCTCTGCCCGACCCCCGCTGGGCAGCCGAGCCTCCAAGGCCGGGCGCTGGGATCTCAGGATCCAGCTTCGGAGCAGGAGAGCGTCAACGTCAAGCAGCGAAGCACACAAACTTCCTCCCTACTGCAGCGCGCGGCGCAGCGGGCGGGCGGGGAGGGGGGGCGCCCGCGAGGCCGGGGCCCTCCCCAGGCTGCTGGGCCTCCAGCCCACACTCAGGGCCCACCGGGCCGCACGCCCACGGCGCCCCACTGCGGCCAGGCGAAACTGGGGCCTGCCCCGTTGACGCCCACAGCCCCTTACAGCCTGCGATCGTGGGCGGACGCTCCCTCCCCTCCCGGCCCAGGCATTAGCTCGCACTTCGCAGGGAGCAACTAAATCACCGCGGAGGAGACCCAGCCAATAAATCACCTGCCCACCGGGAAGAGGGGCCCTCCCGCTCCGGGCGTTTGAGATCCGCCAGGCAAAGGTAGGAAAGAGCCAGGCTTGGCCTGCGAAACCCATCTGCAATCTCCTACTCCAGTCCTGGAGGCTTTGCATTTTCAGATTTCACCCCTTGCCAAGATACGACTCATCACTGTCAAATTTCAGGGCAGTTCATATAGTTTGAAGGGAAGAATCTGTCAAGGCACCACCAAGCTGCGCAGCTTTCTCTGGTCTGAAGGAGTGACGGGTGTTTACTTGACAACAGTGTCATCCATGTAATCAACAGGCATCTCTGCAGGCTGAGGAAGGCAGAGACCGCCTTGCCCTCAAGGAGCCAGGGCTAGCCAGGAAAGCAGCCGGGTCAGCAGAGGGATCTGTGGACTTGCTGAGAAGCTGCCCGGGAACAAAAGGTGGTGGGTGGAGCTCCAAAGAGGAAGCACCTTGCTCTGCTTCCTGAAGTCAGAGGAAGTAACAAGGAAGAGCTCGAGCGAGCGTGCCAGGTGGGCTGCCACAGGGCTTCCAGTCATCTGGGAAGGGCACAAGAACATTCCAGGAACTGCAAGGACAGGGTGTGCAGATGGGAGTGCCTGAGAAGCAGGTGAGGCTGAGACTGCAGAGAGCCCTGAAGAGTTTCGTCCTCAGTGCAGGCCAGCAGACAGCTGGCGCTTTCCCTGCAAAGATCAGATACGGACTGCTCCGGAGGCATGTGGCCTGAGTGTGGATTAGGGACTGACCAGGCGAAGAAGCTGGTGACATCTCCAGGTGTGAGCCGAGGGGGCACCTGAACTACTGTCATCTGAATTCCTGCTTCTTGCTGGGCAGGTGGCACATGCCTGCAATTCCAGCTACCAAGGAGGCTATTCAGGAGGCTGAGGCAGAAGGATAACAAATTCAAGTCCCATGTGGGCAACTTGGCCAGACCCAGGCTCAAAAAATAATAAGGGCTGGGGATGTAGATCAGTGGTAGAGTGCTCCTGAGTCTGATCCACAGTACTCTAAGAAAGAAAAAAAATTACTGAGCTTCTTCCAGGCCGCCACAGAGACATGAAGGTGAGGTTTGAGTGTATTCAAGATTCAGCTTCACCGAAACCCACCACCATGGCCAAGGAAGGTACTGCTGCTGGATGAGTCTGCCAGAGCTTAGACAGCCCCAGCTCATCTTCTACTGCTTGCGTACAGCCGTGATGGGCCTGTGTCCATCAAGCTGTACTTAGTTTTACTAAATCAACCTAATTAAGCCTGATGGCAACAAGAAACTACTAAGGGATGGATGAGACTCTGTAAAACATCTGAAAGGAAACCCCACACAGAGTCTGGTTACAGTTGTGTAGTGATTGAGGACTACAGCAAACAATCTCAGGTCAAGAATGTCATTGAAGAGGGGCCAGGAATTTAGCTCAGTGGTTTCGCCGCCTGCCTTGCAAGTGCAAAGGCCGAGTTCGATCCCTGGTACCAAAAGGAAAAAAAAAAAAAGAATGTCATTGAAGAGTACTTCAAATTCAAGAAAATAATAAATTAAAGATCTGGCTCACTTTCTAAAAAAATCGATTGAGCATCTAGCATTGGGAGGAATTTTTAAAAAACGAAGGTACCCATGGACTAATGTGAGTGACTCACTTTTAGCAGGTAAGGTAAACACTTGTGAAGTCATGAACAACAAACTGCCCATCAATGCAGCAAGGGAGCCCGGAAGAGGGGTGGACGCAGTGGCACGTGGCAGTCCAGAATGCCTTCACCAGGCAAGAGACAAGGCTGGCTCACCAAGGAGAGGCCGAATCCATGGAGCCAGAGGGGATCGGAGGAGCTGCACAGACAGGGGTGGGGAATGGGAGATGGGAGACAGAGTCTGCATAGAGTTGAGTAGGTGATCCAGAGGGCACAGACAGTGGAAAGCCAGCACCATGCACTCAAACGTGGGCTTCATACCAGGCAACACACAACAGGTTCATCAGAAACACTGACACAGGAAAGGTGGCATGTAAGGAAGGCCGATCTGGAACCTCAGGGTAATGTGCTGAAAGCAGACAAACGCGTTCAGATCCTGATTGTTCCATTTATTATGATGCAATCTGTTGAACATCATTCTAGTCAACTATTAGTAAATACCTACTATATGCCAAGAGCCTCACTTATTAATTCAAAACCTTCCCTACCTGAGACAGAAAGTCTATTACTTTCCCCATTTCACAGCCAAGGAAGCAGAACCTGATCAAGGTCAACCAACTACTCAGAAGAGAAGAATTCAAACCCAGCTCCCGAATCCAGACACTTTGCCGCTGCCTCTGTGAAGTACTCACGACAACAGTGGCTATTTTGTGGCATGACACCATTATCGTGACTGTGTGCTTTCCCATGGAGTCCAACATCGCCTCACCAGATGCTCACTGTTCTCCCTGGGGAAGGCTGCTCAGCACCTTCCTGTCCTGTCCATCCTGATGCCAGTCCTGGGGCAGGCCCTTATCCCTCTTTTCATAGTCTGTTAACCCACCTCCCTCATCCAGTCTATTGTATGCCTGTGCCAAAGAAATTTTTTTTTTGGTACCGGGGATCGAACTCGGGACCTTGCACTTTTGAGGCAGGCTGTGGCACCACTGAGCTATCCCTGGCCCCAAAGAATTTTTTTAAACTACAGGTTTCATCCTGAGTCCACACATCTGCTCCCTGGCCCCTATTTTGCAGGAAGCTCTGCAGGACAGTGTTCACACCCATGCACCCGGGCTTCAGTGCTCTCCAGGACCCTGGCCTGCCCACCTTTCCACCAGGTGTCTAGTACTGCCACTTGCAGGTTCATCTCAAACCCAAACTCAAATCCTTCCTACTCCAAAATAAACTTCCCTGGCCAGTCCCTCCCATTCAGTTACTTATTTGTACAAGGCCTATTTATCATAGAGTCTGTAATGCTGCAACAGGCAGTAGACATTCACTAACTTTTAGAAACGTAAGTGCAACCAACCTCAAGATGAGGAGGGCTTGGGTTGGGGTGATCATAGTGGAAGTAGGCTATTAAAAGCATCAAGGCCCATCCTGAACTCTGGTAACAGAGATGAAACTCTTCTGGCTTTCCTCGGATCACTTGGCCTAATTCTCTACTCAACTTCCAACTGTTACAAGTCCTCCTCAAAGCTTTCTTCTATGCTTTCTGCTCTCTAAAACCCCTTCCAATATGATCTCTGCTATTCTTTTGGCTCTAAATATAATCCAAACCAGATGTGGTGGTGCATGCCTGTAATCCCAGCATTCCAAAAGCTGAGGCAGGAGAATCACAAGTTCAAAGCCTGCCTGAACTATACAGTGAGACCCTGTCTCCAAAACACCCCCCAAAATTAAATAAATAAATAAATAAATATACATAATCCAAGAATCTCACAAGTATTTCTAAGTCTGAAATCTATATTCCAACCCCACTGGGAACACTCACTGCTTCCAGAAATATGCATTTGACACCTGGTGGTAATGGAGACCTACCGCAGCAGTCCACGCATACCAGTGATTGTGCTATCAAGTGCAAAGCACCCTTGGCCCCACTTTAAACAAAAGAGGAAGTAAAAGCTTCATGTGGCTACTGTTACTTCTCTATGGAAAGCCACAAGGCCT